ACCCTCGCACAGCCCCGCCGTTCACCACAGCGCTGCCGTGATCCTTTGGAGGCACCGCAGCAGCAGCGATCCCCAGCAGGCAGAGCCCCGGTACCCTCTGCCGCCGTGGGACGGGAGCACCGAGCTGCGGAGCGGGGTGAGAAGGACCGACGAGCATCTTGGGTCCTTACTCCAAGTCGGTGCGCTGCAGAGCGACTCCCAGAGGTACGTGCAAAGCGCCGTGAGGAGCAAGAGGAACCCGGGCACCCGCATCGGGAGGACGGGGTGACACTGCCTGTGTCAATAAAAAGCAACGAACAAAGAGGGAAAAGGAATGAGGAAGGCCAGAACAGGAACAGAATGGGAACGGATTCATCTCATATAATCTGTGTAAAATATGTATACACCCCACGACAATGACAAGGCTACCATGACAGCGCACTGCTTCCCTCCCACTGCCCTCTTCCCGATGACTTTGCCAATACAGGTACCGCAGCGAAACGGAAGAATGCATTTCTAGAATGAGAAATTACAAGACTTCTTTTTCTTGGGCTGCCTGTTTCTTATCAGAATGCTTATGTCTATTGATAACATTCATTTGAGACATGGACACAGCACTATAATGCACAAATCTAAATCATTCTCGTAGAGATATAAAGGCAGTGGGAAGCCTCACCAGCAGATGACACGTTGCAGTTAGGGTTAAACCCCAGTTGGAAGTCATAAAACCTTCTAAATGCAGGGCTAATGGATAAGCTGAGGTTTTATTCTCATCGAAGACAGGGTGTGGGAAGTCAAGACACATCAATTTCCGCCTTAAGCCTATCCTTGACACCACGACGGGCAGGAAAAGGACATGTCTGAGAAAAAGGCATTCAGCTGCTTTTCCAACATCTCAATCTTAAATCAGCCCGAGAAAGTCACCGCATCTGGCAGGGACATCTCGTGCAAGACGGAGAAGAGGAGCAGTGCCCAGGACTCAGGGTGTGGGAAGTCAAGACACATCAATTTCCGCCTTAAGCCTATCCTTGACACCACGACGGGCAGGAAAAGGACATGTCTGAGAAAAAGGCATTCAGCTGCTTTTCCAACATCTCAATCTTAAATCAGCCCGAGAAAGTCACCGCATCTGGCAGGGACATCTCGTGCAAGACGGAGAAGAGGAGCAGTGCCCAGGACTGCTACCCCTGCCCCCGGGGACCCCCGCACAACCCCGATGGCAAATGAACCCTGAATTGCTTGTGCCGGCAGCCACGGAGACTGCAAGTTAACGGCACGGCACGGGCTCGGAGAAACGTGAAAACGCCGCTTACACACAGCGAAATGTTGACGTGTGATAGACACAGTAAAAAGGACAAGTCATGCCAGGAGTTAATTAGTTAATTAGCTAATAAATGCGCTCCATCCCTTTAATCCCCCGGCAGCGTTCCCGAAATGGAGAGCGGCTTGGCCATCTCCCCTGCAAACACCTCGGCGCCGATGCGGAGCCCCGTGGGGCTGGTCCCACGCCCGCTGCCGCCCCAGCCTGCCCTCCTCCTCCTCCTCCTCCTCCTCCTCCCTTCCTGCTATCTCCCTACAAATAGTCAACCTGACCCCGACCATCTTCCAGCAAAGTTTCATCTCTCTGGCCTCGAGTTTTCTGCTGCATTTGGTGCAGCTGCTTCCCAGCCAATACACCGATTTAATACATTTACACCTCAATAGCACTGACTTTTCATCAGCTCAGGATTACTAGTAACACAGCAGTACCCACAGCGACACAGGTTATTACAAATTTCCCACTAGACAGCATGTCCAGCAAGAACAATTTTATTTTATTTCCTTCCATTCATCTAATTTTGCTATAGAAAACTTCCTGGCCTCTGAAAGGCAAGAAAAGCTTGCATTTATAACATGAAAGGCACAGTCTGTTAGACACTCAGCGCAAATCGGATGCCTCTGTCCATCACATCAATAAAAATACATCTTTCTGTCACACACTAAATATATTAACCATAAAATTGTATTCTTCCTTAATAGCCAAGCATTATAAATCGGCTTTCAGAACAATTTAAAACTCCCTAAAGAGATAATATGTACAGAAAGCATCTGTCTGAAGAGGAAAATGAGAAAATTATGGGTTTTTTCCCCTAAATCCCGTAATACTTTCTGTCCTTGCCACAAAGAGTATGAAACTTGTGCTCATCAAGAAAACGCATCTAGACAGATTTCTCTCAGCATTAAAGAGCTCATCTCCCTTAGACTGAGCAGGGCCCTTCCTTCAGCTGAACACCCTCCAGTACGCACTTTCTGTGCCACGCTTGCTCCCAGGGGCAGGGGAAAGCCCTCCCAAGCAGGTCGAGAGGCTCCGCAAGCGCCCCCTCGTTCTGCCGAGTGCAACGCTCGGGTCTCGTCTCCGCGGGGGCTGCAAAGGCAGAGGGGTCCCACCGAGCTGAG